AATTTCGATAGGGTCGTGGTTAGCGCTTATGGTCATCTATGTGGAGGCTTAACATCATTCCCATGGGCCTGCTATAGGATGGGTGACCAAAAATTGATTTTCTTTAATGGTCAAAGGGCACGTTAAGCCACCGTTAGCTCTAGTTGCATGCAAAGCCTTATACCTTATTTGTCCATCATTCTTATCCATCCACAGGTACACAGTAAGGGAAAGGGACTTTAATGAGCTGATGAAATTATTGATGGAAATATAACCAATCAGTCATTGGGTGGGTGACCAACAATGTTTTATCGCGAGCTCCCCCGTGCTTCTGAAGGGACGTTAAGCCATTGATCCAGGCAGCATCTGCAAGTCGTTGATACCATTCATGATCATGATGACGTCTAGTACTGAAAATGACTGAACTTTTTGGTATTGTTTTTTACCCATGGAAATTGCGTTACGCACTATTCAAGCCATCTGTCGGAGCAGCAGGGGATGAATGGGCCTTTTGTTTATAGGCGAAATCCTTCCCAGTAAAAACCCCGTTATACCCTCGGTCGGGGGTGGTACCCGAACCCTCGGGAGTGTTCCCTAAATATCCATATAAACTATAAGTATCCTTATACTCACAATTTACACAGATTATTAAGCAGAAGTAGTAGTGTAGTAATAGAAGAGTTCTGTTTGTAATTATATAAATTTAGGTTACAGAGCGTTGAACTTGTAAGGTAAAGTCCACTGTATCCGCACGCAATGAATGCACTGTTTGCAACTGATTGTACGGATAAACCGATGACATACGTCCACTGCATACGGATTTTTAACAGGAGTACCATAGTTTAATATTATGATGTTGTTTATTGAATCTTTATGCAATCATTCGTATGACGTTATATTAAAACATAAATAATATTTTTATGAAGTTTAAGTTTAATGTTAAAATACGTATAATCAAAATTCTCTCTAACAGCAATTATGTTGAAGTACAGGCTTCAAGATAATTGCTTAGAGAGAATTTTGATTAATGAGATCGGAGACGAGGAAAAACAAATATTTTTTCGCTAACTCCTTAATCCCTTTCAATCTGGATTCCGTACAGGTCACCGTACTTCTATTGCACTGGTAAAGATAACAGATGATATTCGCCATGGTGTAGAAAATCGGCAGCTAACGCTATTAACGTTACTCAATTTCAGTGGCGCATTCAACTCGATCGACTTCGATTTCCTCATTGGTATAATGTTAATCTAAGCATATCTCCAGCACCAATGGTATGGTTTCAACTTCTTCAAGGCGTCGTGGTACATAAATGCCGGAGTTCCTCAGGGTGATCTCTTATTCTCTTCTCTGTGTTTATAAATTTGATCACACAATCGCTTTCTAGATCCTATAACTTTTATGCTGATGATTTTCAAATTTATAACCAGGCATCGTTGATGGATCTTCCCGATACAGTGGCAGTAATCAATTCTAACCTCTCTAAAATCGAAGTAAATCAAATTTGGTCTTGCCGTCAACTCTTCGAAAACTCAAACCATAAAGGTTTCGTTGTTTCAGATATTCCATAATACGAGTGCTTTGGCTCCTCACCTTATAATCTAAGCTATATGTGTGATGTTGTTATTTATATGTATATGCATATATTTCATTGGACGATAAACCATAACCGAATAATAAAAAAGGTAAACGAGTCATTATGTCAATATTCTGCCGTCGAGTGAATTCCAAAGTGCCCGTTTGGGCTCTCTTGCTACTTACCGATATATATGTTTTACAGAAAAAAAAAATTAATTTATCTTGTGAATATAATAAATTCATATTTTATATGCACACTCCGATTTAATTAAACATGACAGACAATTCATTTCCTGCAAAATTTACTTCGAGTTTGCACGCACTGAAGTGGAAGACCCAGCTTCCTATAATATGCACGCAAAGTCGTCCGAATTCCTAATATATTGTCGTATAAAGTCGTATTAAACTATACTCGTGTTATTCTGCTTTATTAGAGTTTCATCACAAATTATGAGACATTTAAACATATAATCAATACAACAACTCAAGCAATGTACAACAACATAAACAGTCAGTTAGTTAATTACATTAAATATTATCGCATTGAATAGAAGTTCGTTAATAGCGTTACTAAATAACTGCAATTATAAAAAAAAAACAAATGTAACATTTCTTCAAGATCAAAGTCCAACTGCCAACAAGGAACCTGCTAATAATATCTCGCACAAGAAATTTACAATAAGTAGATGATTACTAATTGTTCAAACTTTATTACGTTCAGTCTGCGATTGCGGAAGTTAAGCAAGTTTCGCAAAGGCTGGTCCTTGGATGGGTGACCAAAAAATAACTCGAGCTCCTCTGTGCTTTGGAATAGCCCCAACAGCATATGTATTATTTTATAGATCACCAAATAATATGCTTTTTATATACTTTCTGTTATTCAATATTTAACTTTTTTTAATATAAAAAGTAAATTTTTTAAAGTGACTTCATGTCAGTATACAAATTTACCTCAATATATTTTTGAGATTACCTATTTTCAAACAGCATAGTTGATGCACCTACTCCTAAGCTGTAATTATTTTATAGATCCCCAAAAAATTTAAGTATTTACTACTATTATTTATTATTATTTTTTGATGTTTCAGTGTAAAGTTGAATATAAATATATTATAACTTATATAAAAAACTAAAATATCTAAAAAAATTGAACGACTTCAATAACATTTTCTTGAATAAGTCGCTTTTGAGATAAATATTATTTATAAAGTATGAAATCGGTTCTATTAAAAAAAAAAAGTATTTATATTTGTGATATTGATATTAATGAACATCATTAAAAAGCGCGTGTGTTAATATTTTTAGGATAATAACATTAATTTTTACACTAAAAATATGAAATATCAATATTCATCATAGTAGTCTTAGAAAAGAAGATTTCAGTTATTTGCTTGACATGATTTTTCCCAATAATTCTATACTCAAATTATAAAGAGGAAAGATTTGATTGCTAGTTTGTTTGCATTGAATTGGCTCCGAAACTATTGGACCGATTTATAAATTTTTTTCATCTACGGGAAGCTATATAACACGCTTTGGACATAGGCTATAATTTACGCAGGTTAGGTCGCGGGGAAATAGCTAGTTTAATAGAAATTGGTTCATAATTCATTAAGAAATCGATTGACATACCTACATAATTTCATTAAAAAGATACATACTCCTTGAACATAGGAAATCCTCCTTTTGGATTTAATATGAATTCAAAATACGCATGCTTTTGTTTTTTAACTGACTTCAAAATCCAAAGGGAGAAGTTTATTATGTTCGACGACGATGTATGCTTTTTATGTTCAACAGCAAATTGGAAAATCTACATTAACCCGATTGAGGTTCAAACTCGAAACCTCAGACAGGCGAACATCTTCAAACCAGCACGTAAGCCATTCTGCTAAAACGGGTCATTAGATGATCAATCTGGATCGTTATTAAAAGTTGCGGATTCATGTCAAAAAATAAATTACCTGCATTATATATTATGTGATCCATTTCAACATGGCATCAATCTATACATCAAACGATCAATATGATCATGATCATGGATTGATTTGACGCCTGACTGACCGCCTAATGGTCCGAATAGATGTTAATAATCTTGAGTAACACAAAGTGATGTCATAATTCATCAACACTAAGGGCGCGACCGCCTAATTCATGTACGTAGCAGTAGTCGTAGGCTACGCTTTATCGATATTTCTCATAAATCTGTTTATATTCTTTAAAATTAATTGCTTTTTTAATTTATATATTTTGGTTTGTTTTCCTTTGGAAATTGCATTGTTTATATAAATTCGAAATTTTATAAATTTCGTTTAACTTTAATAATTCAGTTAACAAAAACAACCAAAACCATTGATTAAATATGTAAATAATAAAAAACGATTAATTTTGAAACAATGTCAACAGATTCATGTGAAACACCAATATAAGTGTAGGCAATGACATGTTTCAAAGATGTTTCTCGCGGTCCCGGTTAATAACAGATTATCAGCATTTTGCCACGATATGAAACAGTAATATTAATAAATTCGATAGGTCTTGCTCTAACACTGAGCTACAGTGTTAGAGCAGTCGCAGATTGCGAAGGATCATGGGTTTAAGTCCCACTTCAGAGTACCAGGGACAATGTGGGTTTTAAGAATTTTTTTTAAGAATAACAATAAAGATTTTGACCTCTTCCACTTTCAGTCAACTTTACAGCTTACACGAAATATCAAATATCTTCAATTCTTCCAAGTTAGCACTAATTGAATAGTTATCTGAATGCAAATTCTTTTAAAGAAAATTTAAATAAGCAGTGAAACGCAATTCTACAGACAATACGCTTACAATTTCTATGCAATATACATTGGTTTTAACAGTTGCGCATCTTTGCGTGATTCTAGTTCTACAAGCATTGTTACCTATTGTGTATTCAAGTGCAAGGTAAATTACATAGGTGGCGTTGTTAGATGATAATATCTTCAATCCTTCATAGTATAATGTAATATTATTATAGTATGTACACCACGCTTTTCTCCATAATTCTTAGTAAGGGTTTCATTTGTATCTACATCAATTGAACTGTGATATAGACATTAAATAAACGCTTAACTGATTAATTGTTTTAAAATAACAACAACTAACAAATATATGATCAACTAACAAATATATTGCTTTCCCTAGATGAAAAAATCTTTCATCTATGGAAAGCAACATCCTTCGCGGGTGTCAAAAACTATAATTTACGCGGATACGCAGACATAAATTACATATAGCTTTTGACAGTCGCGAGAAAAAAATGACATTGTTCTCTCTTTTATAAAATACTCTTGAGGAACTGAAGTGTCAATATCGAGTTTTAAAGTAAATTATCATATAACCGATATTATAGTGAAAAATAAATAGTAATAATTATGTTTCAAATAAAAAAAAAATTAGAAGGAATAAAATACTTTCGAATTAGTTTCCAATCTTTATTTAAAAACACAGCTTTTCATACAAATGCATTTAACGAGTCTGTGACTCATTTTGTTGTTTTATTTATTAAATAAAACACTCATTAAAAATATTTTAAATAAAGCATAACCCAAGTTCCTCTGGTTGTATACTTTATTTTTATTTAATAAATTTATATTAACTACATACTAAATCAATAAATTAATGAGTATTCAGGCACAGTCATTTCATAAATAATAACAAATAATTAATCCCACTTAGTCTAAAATAAATAAAGCCTTTTAATAAAAAGTACTCAGAATTGACCAATAGTCAATATACGTAAATGAAAAGTGTAAAGAAAATAAAACAAAATAAAAGGTGGGGGTAAAATAAACCAAAATAACTAAGAGCTATCTTATCTTGGCTTTCATCTGGCCTAACTTATCTTATCTTAGTCTTTTTTATAAGCTGAGTAAGCTAGGTTAGATGCGTCGTTGTAAGCTCTGCGGTCCCATCCGCCGCTGCTGCCTCCTGATGACCAGCCGTGGCTCTCGTGACCACCACCGCCGCCTCCCTTCTGTGACATCAGTTTTTTCAAGGCCATAATGCCGGCGAGGAGTAGAGCAATCTATAAAAGAAAATTGGATTTTAGTCAGATTCTTTGAAAAATTTTAGACGAGTAGGATTTAAATAGTTTGAACGTAAGAGCGATGACCGTTGAAGATTTTTTCGAACATCCCCATACATATTATATTTTCAGAATACCTATACGAATTTTAATATATTTAACGCTTCTCTCTCAACCGCTCGATATTTTTGAAATTTCGACAAGTTAAAATCTGAGGGACATTAGGTTTTTTGTGAATATAAAAATACTCGAATATTACGCTGTAATCGCACACTACTTCTTCTTTCTTCTCGCAATCTTCATCACAGGATGTGCTATTCTACATCACTCGAAATAAATCTCGAACGGCTTAAACTAATATAAGCCGCACGAGATTTACTTGGATTGACGTCGAAAGTTGCAATTATCAAAATGAACAACGATCAGGAGTTCAGTGCACTGACGAATGGTTATAGTAAAACAGAGAATTTATATGACTTCTTCATAAGACAATGTTGCCAGTTAGCTGTTTATTGACTCCTTAAATTTCTTTGGTTTATTTTTTTGCCATGTTATATATAAGTAGCTACAATATATTTATAAATATCACTGCATATCGATTTATTTTGGAAATGTATAAAACATTACCTAGAAATATTTCTTGGAACTTTTCAAATACGTTTAAGTTTGTTGTTTCGTCTTATCAAATGGTACTACAAAATATTAAAATTGAATAATTGTCTATTTTAATAAATTATTAGACATTGTTTAAACTGTCTTGTTACAAATTGCAATAATAACTATAATTTACCCTAAAACTGGGGTATTTAAATACTAGCAACAAATACCATACCCTTTGAAAAGTCTAACAAGCTGAATACTAACCATATTGAGGAAAAGTCTTGTGGTATAACATATTAAATTCCTACATTTCAGAATTGCATTACGCAGTATTGACCTTTATTACATAAGTATAGGGTTCATTTAATTAAATTTGTTCGTTATAATTAAAACTGTTATACGTCAAAGGAATATAAATCGTAATGTTCACGATATAAGATTTATTTCTTTAATTTAGTCAGTTATTCTTCTGTTTTAGTGTATTTGATTAGGGCATATGATAACATAGTTTTGTTAATAGCTCAGTATATTGTGGTGATAATGGGAATTTTATTACATATTTATAGTAACGAGTTATTGTAGAAATATTAATTAAAGTATTAACCCACAATAACAATATTATGAAGAAAATAAGCTAACTTTATGGATTAAAAATAATAGATTCTAAATTGTTAGGCTCACGAATAAGGTTTAAAAAATGAAAAATAACATATTCAAAATACATCTCCTAAATCAGACAAAAAGAAACCTTATGCCATTTAACCAGGTTAAATATTATATTGAATACATTTAATGATAGCTGCTTTGTAGTTAGATATAAACATAGAAAGTCCCCTGGAGGGATCACGATTACAGGTCGAAGGTTGAAGGGAAAGTACCTACGTGCACATAACTTGATTGTTTGCTGTCATTACATTGAAATTGTAAAAGAACGTCACAATTTCAAATTGAATTAATAAGAGGTATGTAAACAAAATAAGTGCTTAGCAGTTATATTTATTCCTACAATTTGGATTGGATTTCTACAGATCGTACACATATGATCATTTAAAGTCTGAATCTTTTAATGGAATCCTTTCTCAAATACACTTAAAAACCATCAAATTCAGTAAAGGAGGATTTAAGTGATAAACGCATAGAAGAGTTAAGTACAAATAATGGTTTCATGGGATTAAAATTATAAAGGAAAGTAACTAAATGTGAAATAGTTATCCCCTATATGGAATACTGATATTCCTTCTTAAATTCTGTTGTCTTTCACGGTCATTAACACTAGTATGACATTTATATCTCCATTTATCGACGTCCTTATTCAGTTGTTTTTCATATGGGAATATTTTGTAATATTCAATATGTCCAACGCGATATTCTTGCGAATTCGCTTGATAATTTCTAAAGTCAATTTTTTTACTGCATGTAAAAAAAATTGACAGTATTTCATATTAGATATACTATTGTTTATTCAATTACTCTCCTGTACATACATGTAATCCAATATCTTGGGAATGTTACTACCATCGACCCCGTAACAAATTATTAATTTTCACACTTATAATGATAGTTAGAAGTTAGTCAAAATATAGTGAAGTACTAAATGGTATCATTATAAGATTAATTAATACTTTCTCTACACGTATTATGACTGTTATAAGACTAAGATGTCATAAAGAACGTTTTTACTTTCAAACGTCTGCGGGTCAAACCTTGATTGGCAGGTTACGGTGAAAGATGATTCCTTAATTATAGTACAACGCTCCAAGAACGAGCAATTAAATATTAAATCAAATTACGTCTAAAATCAAATTATGTTGACTTTAGTTATTATGTATCCAGGATCATAATACAAACAAACTTAAATCCGTCAAAAAATTGCAGTTAGCATTCAGCTCTATCGTGGCTTTCAATTTAAATTGACGTTATCATTCAATAAATATTTATCAAAAGAGGTCGTAAGTCGTTCATGAATATCTTACAAACGTCATATTGAAAGGGATTAAGATAGATTTCAAAATTAGACGATAAGTCCCCAACTGGCTATTTGATGAACTTATCTGTCTTAACGTCTCTCTAAAATAAGTTCTCTGTAAACCCAGTTTACCCTCCTTTAGGGATGGAATCTAAGGTTCTTATGTTTACCCCTTTGTGAGATCGCTGCCATGACAATGTTATATTATATTTTCAGTAATAGCTTCACCTTGAAACCCGGAATCTGAGATCCCCGCCATGGCCCCCTCACGCAGACAATGTTATATTATATTTTTAGTAATAGGTACACCTTGAAACCCGGAACATGAAAACTTGAAAAACAATCTTTAGGTTTTTAATTTGATAAATGTTCTAGTGTTGGAAGATTTTAAGCCTTAATGGATTAAGAACGAGAACAGTCGGATTATAATTTCATACCAATAATATCATGTAATTATTTTTTTGAATGTGGTGGTTAAATTGATTTATAAAAATGTAACGAATTGAACGTATTTGTTACACAGCACGATTTAATGTCAAAGGCCAATGCTAAGCAAAAAGTTACCTGGTTAACTAACCTCCACTGAGGATATAAAAAAACTCAATCGCCATTTAACTTCCATTATTGTATACGATCTCATATGTGTAAACTATGTCATAGTTAGCAATGGTGATATGAGAGGTCTTACCATGGATTCTAATTGATGTAAAAGCCATTGTGCGAGATACCGCTATAGGAGTATCACCATCCCACTACTTAATAAGATAGTTTTTGTTCCAATCAATGGATAGTAATTTGCATCATGTTTTTGAGAATTTGGTGTAATTGTAACAATATTTAATATAGAAACTGTAAATTGTTTGACAGATTTATGACTTAAAATTGTTTATACATCACCATGAGTAGATCGGTGGCGTAATAATTATTTGCGCTCCTTATCTTTGTTGTAACTTTCGTGAGGGTCAGTCACGGGATGGGTGACCAAAAAATTATTAACTTAGGCTACTTCGTGCTTCGGAATACACTTTAAGCCGTTGGTTGCGGCTGCATTTGCAGTCGTTAATACCCTCCAATCTGCATGGATGTTCAGGACTCATTCTCCTTAACCAACCATATGGAAGGCCTGAGCTCCTGCATGAAAAAGGCTGATAATAATGTTAGCAAAATCTAGGTAAACTAATATTACAAACTTAATATATCTTATAAACTTTCATCAGCTTTTTTCAGTTCAAAAACAGCTAATTTAATAATGAATATATTCTCGTGTTTAAATATTTTTATGCTAATGTTCCGTTGATATAAAATATGATCAATGTGTTAAAATTTCATATAAAGCATGGTCACTAACAAGTGGGTCTATAATACGGTATGGTAAGAAGAATACACCTTTATGTATCATTTGACTGTGATACAGTTTAACTTTAAATTAATATTATTATTATAACGAATTGAATTAATTGATTTTAGTTTTACGATTTCAAAATCTATTACAGTTTACTTTTCATAAAAATACTTAGTATTAGCACATTTTTTTTTATAAACGATGTCTGAGTAACATTGTAACATAGAAATAATGGGCTAGTTGAAGTCGTGCCTTCACCGTTCCAGTAACAAATAGAACACGGTTGTTTTAGCTTTAATGGGATATCGTGAAGTGTGCGTAGCGTCGGGATATAAAGCGAGGATATCTATTTTAATATAATTAAATAATTCGTTATCTTTCAATTTTTCACCCAGAGACCTAGGATATAAGTTTTGTAATTTGTGACAATAATGGTTATAAATCATATTATTTTAAAGTAATTCTATTATTATTCCCTGAAAAAAAGGCTAAAAAAGTTAGTAATACCGTTAAAATGGTTACTAACATAAATGGGTAAAGTTTCTATTTTTTTTGTTTTGGATATAATCTTCAGCAAAATTGTTAATTTGACTTTGAAAGAATAAATAAATAAAAAATATTTTGCCAGATTGAGACGATAAATATATTTATAAAATATCTATAAAATAAAATTTTAAAACCAAAATATTTTGACTATTGAACAATCCTTATTTAAATATAATTTATACTCTGAAGAATAACTGAAAGAGATTTGACCTTTTTTGTCACGCCAATAAATAGAGTTCTTGTTATAACTTTTATAAATAAGTAAAATTTGTAAATTGATAAAATATTACATTAAATTTATGTAAAAGCAATAATTATAGATTATACAAGGCAAAAAATATACTAATTATCCGTAATGGTTAATTCACATTAGTCGCTGGGGTCAGCACGCGGAATGCGGAAAACCTTTCTGGCTTCATTTGATTGGTTAACTAATGAAAGCAAAACAATATTTAAGAGCTCCACTTAAGAACTACATTTTTGCTTAAATAAACAGACAGAAAAATTTTACTTCGATGCTTGTCTCCTATTGAGATTAACTGCAATTATTTTAATTTTTGCTTTTTATTGGTTAGGAAAAAGCACGTCAAAGTCGTCACTATAAATAGATAATATACTTATTATGTTACACCTTTGTTGAAATATAATCCAGATTTTGATATTTTAAGTTTGAGACACATTTTTACAATTGGGCAATGTGTGTGTTTAGGTGGTGTTAATTGTAATTGATTACTTTTATTCTTATTAAACATATTGTATGACATGTTTGTAAAGAAATAAATACTGTTAAATAAATTAGATATTTATAATAAGACTGTATGATATTAATGGTTTATAAAGGTACAACATCCGCTTGGTCAAGTAAATTAAATTTATCTATATTTTATTATTGGTATGTATATATTATTGTATAAATATTGTGCTAGTTATGTGTATGCGGAAATATACATTAACTTAAATATATTTTTATATGAATACTACGAATCCACATACAGAATTGCTACACATAAAATATTTTTTTTAGGTTATCCACAGTTATTATATGAAAAATATAGCCCACACACATAGATATGAATACAAAATTACCTTGCTTATAACAAGATAAAACAAGAACGCGTTATAGAAATTATAAACAGTCATTTTTTCCATTCCAATAATTTTACAACAGAAAATTACATTGCCGTGATCTCGTTTACAGTACTTCATAAGCTATTTTGCTCCATAGTATTTTTTAAAATTAGATCGCTATGAATTTTAGTACGTAGTATAATAATATTATTTTTATTAATAAGTTTTTTTTTTTGCAAACTGTACAAAACCGGTATAGCATTAACCACAGTTTGCAGGCTGTACTGAAACATCTCGCTAAGGTATTATTTACCATCTGTGTCATAAGGTCTGGAAGACCTTGCAATTTATTTCCAATTGATCAACTATCATCATACCCAATCCTAAAATAAAATGTTGACTTGATAATAAAATTATTTATGAAGACATAGATTAACTGCAATTTATATTAATTGTTAAAGGTGTGTTGATCCACTAAGTAAAATCATTGCACATTGAAAGTGTGTCTGCATACTACAAATTAGATAAGCATCGAATTTCCAGGCGCTTTTCACCGTTGGATGGCGAAATTTATTTGATACGTATATTATTAATGATGGTAAGGTAATTTTTTTAATAAGAAATAAAAATATTTGGCCTGGCAGAATTTTTTTATATTTAAATTGTGTATTTAATTTAATCGTGTGGAGACAGGATTGTTTAATAGTAAAATATATATATACAAACAACTAACGTTTTAAGCTTTCACGTAAATTTTGTTTCAGTCCTAACATATACTTGAATAATGTTAATTCCAACAAAAAACATAATGTTTTAAATCAATGTAAGGAAGATGAGATACTGGTGATATTATTATCATCAGCAAAACATAAGTACTATAAATGTTTATTTTAGGATCAGTACATATTGTGGCATATTGCCTCATATTTAAAAAAAAACTTATATTGAAATGATATATCTGTATAATTTTTTTTTTATAGAAATTTTCAAATCTGATTGCAACTTTTACAATTTCAAGCATACTTCTTTAAAGTTAAACAATCTTAACGGGAAGCACAAAGCCACAATGTTTCAAGTATTTGATGAAAGTGAATTCTTGTAGTACCGTGCAAAGATAAATTGTGAAGGTGAATATTATAAGAACACTCGGATGAAAGCATAGAACTCTTTATAAAAGATGACCTTAAAAATTGTGATGAAATATATGACTAATCTTGGTACTTGTGATTAGAATAACAAGGAAAGAAATAGTATGAAACAATGAAGGAACAAGAGTTGCAAAAGGTTTTGTTTGGATTTTTTTTTTAAATTCAACTAAAATAGGTTTAAGGTACAATATTATGACCATACTAATCAGTGTGGTCTGTAATTGAGAGAGTGTGTTCTATGTGTTTTTTGGTGGGGACAGGAATGGACAGGAATGTAAGGAATGAAAGACCAAAGAAAAATTATATCAGTAAGAATGGAGTAAATATTTAAATGATGACTGATTGATAAATATGGAAGTATACATATGGTGCTAAACCAAATTGGCACTGACATAAATAGACCTTATTCAATAAAAGCAGCCTAGTTACACTTTTATATAATTTTTTAGCGAACTATGAAAGTCAAATGCAAAACAATAAAATTACGTAAAGTATAAAAGACCAAAAAATAATAGAAGCTTTAAATAAAGGAAAAAAATATCAATTGAAGTATTGTTTTAGTAGTAATCACACAACTTATGTATATTCGAATCTTAAATGAGATTAAGAAAATAGAACAAAAAGATGAAAACGAAATGAGTAAGGGCTAGATACTAATCAAATTTCACTGCGCAAACCCAACCTTGAATGTAGATCATCTGCTATCTCACATGAATCGAAATAGAACATTCTCACACTGAAAGATTCATGATCAAATGCTATGTTGCCTAATGATACAGTTCCCACCATATTGTGAACTATTCCTAACAATGGAACACTATTAGAATGAATGACGGTAAAATCAGATATAATTAATTTTTTCTAATTGCATGTTTTCTCTGATATTTTTATCGCTGACGCATTTATATCTGATGAGTAGATGTAAGTGTCTAATAAAGAAATAATTGTAGTGCAAAAAGTGAAACTGTTTTCATGTAATGTAAGTTATACTTTTGATGAAACTATTTTTTTAATGGGCTTCTGTTTCTTTAGTGTGTTGTTAATTTGAGAGATCACTGACTTTGATAAGAAGTGTAGAAGTACTTTTATTAATCAATAAATTGTTTTTATACAAATTTCAATATTAGTCAATTCCAACTTTTGATATTAATATACTACTCATATATATTAACATTTCATGATATTTTGTGTTAGATAAAATTTGCTCCCGTTACCCGTTATTGTTTGAAAAATAAATTACCATAGGTATATCAAAAGTTTTTCGTATATCTTTTTCTGGCATGTCATTATTATATTTCTGTTTACCTTGGAAACGATTAACGCCTTTCCAGCTAACACGAACAGACCAGCTATCGCCAATGGTATCATTGCTGCCATCTTCATGCTGGCACCCATCATCATCATGCTCATCATCTTCTTCATCTTTCCTCGACCTGAAATATTTGGTGATCTGTATCTTAATACGAGTTGTAATAATGTTAAATAATTGCTGTATAATATTGAAGATAAGAGGCCTAGTTTAGACTCAAAAGAAAAGATAAATTTTAATCGTATAGTGGATAAATTCAAAAAATTGCTTTAAACATGATTACTTAGGTACTTCAAAATAAATAAATCATTAGTATGAAAAATGTGAAAACACTTTCCAATTGTCGACAGGTTCAGTTCGTCTACTTCGTGGGAAGATCACGATTACTTAACAATTTTCAAACCATCAAAACCGTCTTCAACAAAACGTAATGGCGCTGCCTGATCATCAAGTTTATCGTTCATAAAAAATATTTGACCTTTCGCAAACACGAGTGTTCATTATTCGTGAATTACTTGACTTTCTAGCGAACCGACATTTGTTATAGCTTTTACTTTCAATATATTTTTATATCAATCATAGGCAATTCATGTAGGATCGTTTCGTCTGGTTAAATTCAATTAATGAGTATAACCATAAATATTATGGCATAACTATGCATATTATGTTTTATATAGACAATTTTCATTGTTATCTTTTAATATCTGTGTAGATTTAGTTATGCTTGTTAGCGACCGCTTGCTAAATTATGCAGTGTCATCTATTTTCAGATGGTAATCTAGTTTGTAACGCAATTTGACATTTGACTTATCATAATCAATTAATATTTTAATTTATTTATAATACATTTTTTGAGTTAATTATGTTTCTAGTTAAATAATGATCAAATATTTCTTAATCCGACAATTTGTATATACTGTCTATTCGTATTTATGATGTTTTTTCTTAATAGTCTTAAGTTAAATTTTACATTTAATAGTCTAAATTTTACATTGAATTAATTTGAACATCCACATTGCTTAATGTAGCAGACATGCAAATATAATAGTAGGCTTCAAACATAAATGTTAATAATATCGTTTAACTTTCAAAATTACAAGAGGCATTTGCAAGAGAAACCAGGGCAAATATTAAAGCAATAACCAAGGCTGATGTGAAGAATGACCATATAATTTAACGGATCATAAAATATTTACAACAAAATCGTTCGTGGTTTCTATGAACATAAAGAAATAGTTGTAACTTGATAATGTTACATTGATACATTATGATATGGGTTAGAAAAACGGATCTTACAATACTGTTTGTGCACCGCGTTTCACCTGATTTTGTGAAAATGGCATTAAGAGAGTACTTTCAAATAGATTTTTAAATAATAATGTTTAATACTTCTTATAAGAAGAAATAAAGAAAAGACTTGAAAATGGCCCCGGAGTCATATAATGTAGCCTTTAAATTATTGCAATAAGCATTAAATTTTCAGAAAGTAATCTTTATGTTTTTTTTATGTACAATTATGCACCATTATGTATAAAATCTTCGAAGTAATTTGTGTGGATGTGATAATAGTTTTTATTGTTCTTTACATTTTGAATGCTTTTACTTTTATAAATACTCTATATTTCGAATAATCTAGCATCTACTATTTTAATATTCATAGATTTATAGTTTAACATCACTATAATGTCCAGATGAATGAAAATTAAAAAAAAAATTTTTTTGATTACGGTTTTAAGAACTCATTTGAATTCAGTTTCATTTCGTACTTTGGGTTGTTATTGTTTTATTAACATATCTGATATTAGATATGCGTACTTATTGATAGAACAAGCTAGATCAACATAGAGAAACCTCTTTTGTTAAGAGTATCCATAGATACGTTCCTTTCTTTGGTCTATATATATATAAGTAATGTATGATTTTTGTTTTTTGCCTGTGCTGATTTGAGTCAAACTTTTTGAGATGTCTATAGAATATGAAAGGTTGATAATTATATCATGACGTGAAATATTTGAACATCTGCTTTTGATCCTTATTTGCATTTAATAGTAGAAAGGCAAATTACAAGCTTCATATTGCATGTTAGAATGAAAGTGATAACATGGAAATCATCTTTTTGAATTGTGATTAAATTTTTTAAAGTAAATAAGTTTTATGGAGTAATTAGAGATTAGTAATGCTTATTTAACACATACAGATGATAAGGTCGATTTAGATAATAGGAATAAATGCGTAAGGATTTTTTATTATTATTAAAGCAATATGAGACGGCGTTTTTGTCTAGTGTAGTATATTCAGATTATTCTTACTACGATAATTCAACTTTACATTTTTCGCCAACATAATTATTGTATCATACTTATTAATGTCTTATTGGCCGAAAAATGCGGTCGTAAGTGCTGACAATTATGGGGTCAATTAATTAATATAAACTAATAACAGCCAATATCCGATCAATTAAAATGCAGTACAAATTGCAAGATGCCCGTATGTGAGCCATCTCTAGTAATTTAATGATTGTGTTATTAAAGCTCATTCAAGTCCAAGCTAAGGCTTGGAACTCGTTTAACAATGAAAATTAAGTTAAATTTGATCTACATCAAATTGAATAACGTTAAAAATAATAAGAATTTTGGTATTTAGTAAAAAGACGCTTAAAAATTCCAATTTAAAATTGTTTGTTAATGTGTTGATTCACTACAAACATGTCGACAAATATAGTATTTAACAGCTGACAGGAGCAGATTATGTTCTTCAGATGTACTTAATGTCGATCAATCTGTTATGTTACTGTAAAAAGCTTTAATTTTTATTGTATTTGATTTTGCATTGACAACGCTATACTAAAAATAATCTCATTGAGAATAACTTTAATTTTATTCACATTTTTTCCAAATTGTTACAAGCTTATATCTAACTGAATTACCCTCTATTAGTAAATTGCGAATGCAAAGACAACCTATGAACGCTACAAGCCAATAAACCATAAAAATAATACTTGATTTTAAAACAAGACACTGATAAATGCCTTACCTTCTTCAACGCCTTTATTTAAATCCTGACCAGTGATCCTTGGCAACGACAGTTGTACAGTCCTCGAATTAGCAAACGACGCGATTCTATCCCAAAGCATATCTGATAGCGCTTCATTTTTATCAGCCAAGTTCCTGGGGAGACTGCTTTCGATATCGTTCTCACTGATCGGTGACACTTCAGGTTCAGACGTCTTCACTATATCTATACCATCGATTAATGGTATAGCGTCCGTCCTCGCTGCCCTATCGAAGAATAAAATGGCCTTCTTCTTCAAACACGGTAACACCCCGTCTGCTCTTTGACAATCCTCGTATAACCTCATTACGTATCTAACACCCATATCTTCACGTGCCGATGTGAAAGATAAAACTAGTAATAACAGTAACACTTTTGTGAACATTTTTGATTTTTGATGCTGACGGTACGGATAGGCAAAAAAGACTGGTGTAGGCTCGCTGATAGATGCGGTTTATATAGAGTTTAAATGTGAACGCAGTGAGGGTACAACGATCGGTCGTGTTGAATGGAATGCTTAAGTTCACAGGTTGCAGGTTAAATTGTGTGTAGTACGATATGGTATAACGGCTTCGTTTGTTTTATTTTATGTTTAATAGTTAATACTAAAGAGTTACAATATGTTATAGAATTTAATTGTCCAATAAACGGCTCTGATATGTGATATTGTAATTCACACAGATATTTTAGTTCAAGAGAACGAAAATAGTGAAAACTATAGCACTTCCGTCCTTGCATGTATAATTTTAGCTTTATGTTATAGTCATTACTCTCTATTATTCATTGAAAATGTCATAAAATTATTTTAATAGTATGTACAGTTTTCAGTTATTCAGTTATCAGTATTTCAGTTATTTGTAAGCGTAGTCGCTTGCATCATACCATTACTAATTTCTTAAGAGTAGTTTCACGAGAGTTTCAATTTCTTTTCATAAAAATTTATTTATTCAGTTTTGTTAGATATAAATGGAATCCTATCTGCTCATGATTTTGAATTGTTTTAAGTTTTGTGTTAATATAATTATATGATGATCTGTGAGGAAATTTTCATAACAGCGTAATTATGAAAAGTCAATAGCGCTTCAGCTCAAACCCTTTATGTCACAATTTTTGTAACGAGAGCACAAAATAATAAATATATCTGCCACCATTAATTTGCGAGGAAAACATTACACTAATAATACTAATATTACAATAAAAAACGCAAGTATTCTATTAAAATGCAATCATAACATAAAAAGTAACAGAATTAAGACCCATATTGACTCATTTAGAAGTCACTCTCCATTACAATATCTTAGATCGATCGAATCAATCACAGAGAAGACGGGCTGTAATCCACCATGCGAGTGTGGCGGGGTGGGTCCTTGATACAACAAAGATCACATGCTTAATGTATCTGTCAAAGCACGGAAGAGTTAGACGTTATACATTTTTTGGTCACCCATCCTATGACCATCCCTTGAGAAAGTTGTTTAACCTCCACACCATAGACTGCAACACCGATTACCGATTACAGATTAAAACGTTTAATGTGATGGAAACTGGTAAAAAAGTGACAAATACCTTCCATTTAGTTCGAACTCATTTACAATTTTTATAAATTTTCATTCACAACAAGTACCAAAGCTTCAGTAACGAGATATGTTGACATTCTCAGATGATGTACGTACCTAAAAGTAATAGAGCGAATGTACTTTTCGAAAAAAAAAATGTCAATCCCTATTTCAAATTTAACAATATTATGGATATTAAAAACTGAAACTGAACCAAGATATTAAGTGAAGATGTTGAAATTTAATACAACATTAAAAGCTTACGAAAAGAGTGGAATTTAATTCAATTTAATCAAATAAAACAAACAAATTAATAAAAATTAATATTGTAACATGCTAATACTCCATTGTTAAACATAGACAATTATTATAATATAAAAGAAGCACTTTATAAAAATAAATAAATAACTTTTAATAATAATGATAGTTTTAATTGATAGATTCAAATATTGCGTCGTATCCTTGCTATAGACCGAGAAGTTTGCTGAAGTGACAGCCAACCTTTAGTCGATGAGGCACCAATAAGAAGGCTAAGATTTAAGGAAATAACGCTTCTCTAAGTCAGATTTTTTTATGTTCCGATATTTTAGTAACTTTTCATTAAATTTACAACCAAAAATTAAAAAGTTGTGTAACAAAACTTTTCTTAGAAAATATTTCGTTCATTGGTGAAACAACATTAATATCCGTTAGTTTTTGAATTAATCCAACTCAAGTAGATAGAAAGATAATAAATCTAGCGTAAACACTTCACGTAAATAGTGGCTAGCTAACTATATTTACGTTAAGCAAACACTTGACTCCTCCTATATACGAAAATTGTGCGGAGAATTTTGAATTAATATAATAGAAAAAATGTATACATACTACCACGTCAAACAGTTAGGTTTACTAATTTGCCAGTCTAACTAGTTCAAACTATTTAATCTAATTTCGACAATTGGGCGACCACTGGTATGGATTGGATTCAAATGTATGGTTTGCATTGAATGGATTATCGTTAGCAAAAAACAAGAAAGATTAATTAGTACAAATTACATAGATATGTTTCTAAGTGTATCGTAAAGGTTTTATTTTTACTTTTTCGTCGGTTTTAATTTTTGTTTACTTTTTTTTTCGGCAATAATATTGAAAACATTTTATTACATGCGATGAATATTAAATTTCTATTTTATTTTAACAGTTTCAAATTCACTTTTCAATGATCATGTAAAATTGCAACATTCAGTATTTTAATTTCACCATGATCTTTGTTTAATTATACCTACTGTAGCTTTTTGCTCATTTAATGAAGTGAAAGTAAGAATAGTTACTTATTGATAAATTTCACCATACAGGTGGTATATACCGTCACGAACTTTTGACATACAAGTTGTTCTACGACGCCCTCCGTAGTTGACTGGCTTGCAAGTCGATTCCACGGTGTAACATTTTTGAAGTCCTAGATTCGATTTGTGTATTAAAGTGTGTAGTGTGTACGTTTCATTAGTATATAAAATAAAATAAAATCAAGTGCTATTTATTGTTATTATTCTTGAGTCTGAATTATAAGGACGCCTCGTTCTTTGTAACTTAGTATAAATGATATTGGAACTTTGACATATCGAAGCTGGCACTGCTATAAGCTTTGTCATTATTCAACTTTTTAAGGGCATGTACAGTAAAATAATACATGTTTTAGCCTTTATTACATTTACACATAAACTATATCTACATGTAAGTTTTACCTTAGAGTACCAAATGACCAAAAGTGGGACAGTGGGTAAAACCGGGGTATCTACCCTACTTTTGAAACCAGAATAGAATACCTTATTGATAAAAAAATATTCGTAATTTCACCGTGCCAAAAGATTGGATTAATTGAGTCGTCATCGCTATGGTCACCAGACTGACACCTGTGATAAAGAATAATAGTATAGTTGCTATAGGTTTGTGTTGTATCGTTTTAATAGTATTATTATTTTTTTTTTCTTCTAACTTTTTATTTATAATATAAAACACTTTTTATTTGACCATTTATTGCATTTACATAAAGACACAGGCCATTTTGTGGTGCTTACGGATCGAGAAATGGAATCCCTTACCTTAGAATGACAACGGCAGATTCTTCACAATAAGACACTATGCAACGGTTTCATCTAAATATTAAGATTTACAAATAGATAAGCCTTCATTTACCTTTTGGCGTACATTTGTGGCAATTTCACTGCTTATTTACGATTGTGAATGTGTTTTTATGTAAAATTTTACAATTTCTAACACAGTGGTTAAGAGTAGAGCATCCAAAATGGTTAATTCATGATAATAATTCATAGCCACCGAAATTAATACGGTTTCATGGCAAAGATATTTTAATTTTCTTGCCTCTCATACTTTCTCTGAAATGTAATCTTATATATTGTGACTATGTAATAAATCTAATAATTGTAATTAATCTGTTTATTAGATAAATTTATATAATTCAATTGGTTTCCTTGTATATTTAGATTAGATTAGTCATACGGTAATAGGCTTTTACCATGCCATATATATTATTCGGCTATAACAATATATTTTTGGACACGACGGTATTAACCAAATAGAATTTTTAAAATAAATTTATTTAAACACATTCGAACGTGTTCAAGTGTATCTAAATAGATATTTAGTTAGTAGCTCTTTCAGTGGACGTAAATTAAACCCTACGTATCACCGAAATAGAAGAAAGATTTTTTGAAATCGATCCGGTATTAGAATAATCCTTTTAATATTACAAATGTGAAAGTTTCTTTGTTTGGATGTTTGTACGTCAATCACGCCGAAACTACTGAATGGATTTTGATGAAATTTGGTATACATATAGGGTATTAGTTGACTTAGATAATAGGATACTTTTTATCCCACTAAACATTTCCCTAGGGACCACGAGGGCGAAGCCGCTGGCGAAAGCTAGTTGTTAATAACCACGATCACGGATGGTCTCTGGTATGATCAGTCCAGTAGTTTCGGAGCCCATATAATGCAAATAAACAATTTTTTCCTCTTTATAATATTATTATAATAATATATAAGTCACTAGTATATAAATTACAGTAGTATGATAATAAATTAGTGCGCTAATAGTAAATTTTTAATTGATCAAATGATATTCAATAACACATTTAAAACCTAATAATATATATATTAATTTTTTTACGAAAATATTTTTTTCTAACGAATTAGAAAATGAAAGACTTAATTAACATTTTGATGAACTCATACTTTATTTCACGGTCGCTAATTTCGAGATTTTTTTAACTTTATATTTTCCTTCTACTTAAAATAACATTTTTAGTATTTCTATTAGAGATTTTCATTTTCAGAGATTCTAATTATATTATTTTATAATGTAAACTTTATTGCAAATAAAAATGGTGATAATAATGACTGAAGTACCTACCTATTAACCTCCTTTTAACGTGCTCAAATTACCTACTATTTGATTAGTGACGCGGGTCCAATAGGTGGATGGTCGAATGTTACCGATCAAAAATCCAGGCGAGTAACCTAACCTAACTTGCCATCCGAAGCACGGAGGAGCGAAGAAATTTTCGGTCTCACATCCTACGCTGCTATAAAGCTCCTTATGACTTTTCTAAAATATGACTGTAGCATCACATTCGCTATTTTGATATAATAAAAGGTTTAATTTTTATCTACACATAGTACAAAATTAGGTCGTTTCGTGCTGTCTGTGCGATCCTAAAAATAACCAGCGGAATTCAATGCGGTTTTCATTAATATACAGAGTCGAAGATGAAGGTTTATATATATAATACAGGATTAAACGGGCGAAGCCACTAGCGGAAAGTTATTGTTCCATAAAAGTTCGAAGTTTATTTTCACACCGTCTGCAA